CCCCCTCCCCAACCTATCCCCTGCCTTAAAAATGTCTGTGCCTCGCTTCCCAGTGGCCCCCATCGGAGGTAGCGTGGCCGAGCGGTCTAAGGCGCTGGATTTAGGCTCCAGTCCCTCCGGGGGCGTGGGTTCGAATCCCACCGCTGCCAAGAATGGTTTTCCTTCCCCGTGGCTTTTGTTGGGCCGGACGACGCTTCTCCGGACACGGAAGCGGGGGAAGAATCGTGTCGCGGTCTCCACTGGTCAATAAGTCCTCCCCACTACCCTCTCTTTTTTTAATTACATGATTCGAAGCGTGCAAAATCGCCTGTTATGTAGATCTTTTGGCGCCACATTTTTCCATCCAGCGTTGGTGGTATAGTGGTGAGCATAGCTGCCTTCCAAGCAGTTGACCCGGGTTCGATTCCCGGCCAACGCAGTCTCGTTTTCTTTTTGGCAATTCATTTTTCTTTGCACAATATTTCTATGCAAGGGGCGTTTCTTGCCCCCCCTCCCCCGCCCCAATTCGTAAGATGCTTCATTCTCCCCCCGGCAGCGCAAGAGACGCCCCCTGCTGGCCTGTTGAATTCAAGCAAGAAAAAAAAAAAACATGTTTTCCAGGAAACCACGTTCAGCAAGCCATGAAAGTGGAATGAGAATGGAAATAATTCTAATTATTTCTTGGCTGCAGAGCCAGCTATGCAGGGCGTGCAAGAGGTTGGGGCGAAAGTGTGCAGCCTTCTTTGGAAGAAGGATATATATATATATATATATTTGTTTCTGTAGGACCTCGCGGTCGTGGTGCAGGATTTTACTGAAGAGGGAAATGGGAAGGAACCCACTATGGAAAGGTGCAAAAAAATAATAATTAATCATCATCATCTCCTTTTAATGACCCTGTAATCATTGCGGGGTGCAGTCTGGGCAACTGAATGGAGCTAGCAGTGTGTTTTACTGGCCGGATGCCCTTCCTATCACAAGTGTGGAGTTTTTTGTTCGGCAGATATATTCTCATAGTGCCCAGAGAAATATTTGCCTCTACCTAGGATCGAACTCACAGCCTCCCGATTGTGAGGTGATAGGCCAACGCACCACTCATTTCCATTCTACAAATGGACCCCCAAATTTGAATGGCAACTGGATGGAGGTGAATGTTTTTACTGGCCGGATGCCCTTCCTGTCGCCAGTGTGGAGTTTTTTGTTCGGCAGATATATTCTCACTGTGCCGAGAGAGAAAAATATCTATCTTCCTCACATTAATCATTTTAATGACCGTTCAAAATTACAACAGCGCCGTTACAGTGAGACTGATGATCCTTTTTCACACTTACGTGACCGTTATAGGAATGAATGAATGAATTCTTTATTGGAACGTGTGATTAGACACACAAGGAATTTCTTGTAGCATCTACATCAGTCACACGATCAAAATTTGGGCAACGGGTTCATAATTACGACGGTCCCAGTGACCTTCTGATGAGAAAAGTCAGGGAGGAAGCCAAGATTCGCTTAACAACTCCCGTCGCTAGCTGAACCAAAGTGCAGTTGGCTTGCTTACCACGGTGGCATGAGAGGTCGTAAAACAAGGCAAAAGTGAACAAATTCGCTTCGATAAAGGTCTTGCTTAGTAGCAGAAATGTTGGACTCAATTGTGGTCATAAGTCGAGGACTACCTGTACCTTGGGGTGGGGTGAACTGCTCCTGCCTCTGGAAGTTTGATCTAAGCCCTTGCAAAAGTTGCTTCTGTTATGATAGACAAACCATTTGGTTCGCATTGCATAGACCCAAAAATCCCCTGTACCGGTTTCCAACAACTTGAAGATGGATGGACTTCAACTCCCAGAATCCCCCAGCGAGCATGCTGGGGGAAGGGGCGGGGTTAGGGTGGGACTTCCTTTTTCTTTGCCTGTTGGGACACAGTGAACCTTAAAAATACAGGAAGTCCTTAAAACGTACCGCTATTCGCTCAGCAACAGTTCGGTTACAATGACACTGGAAAATGTGACTTAGGACAGGTCCTCGCGCTTATGACCGTTGTAGCTTTCCTGTGGTTGAATTTGGGTGCCTAGCAACCAAAAGTTAAGGATGATGGTTGCATTATCCTGGGATTACATGGTCACTATTTCCATCCCAGCCGGTTCTCAATGAGCAGTCAACGGAGGTGGCCGTTGCATGATGCCTCGCTTAATGACTGTGGCAAAACAGGTTGTAAAATCAGGCCATGTAATGCCTCACTTAATGACCGTGCTACTTAATAAATTTTCCAATGCTGTTGTTCGAGGCAGCCTGGTTTGCACCCGGGACAGCCAGATGACTTAACGAGACCAGTGGGCTTACAGCCTCAATGTTACGACGCCGGGAATGACCCAAGGAAGTGAAACTGACCACAAAGGGTGCAAAAATAATGAAAACTGAACAGAAAGGGAAATGAAAACGGCACCCACGGCAACTTTTAAGACGGGGTAGGACTTGACTTCAACTCACAGAATTCCTGAGCTGGCCATGGGTCAGAAAATGGCCACCATTCCCCATGCTGGCTCAAGGAATTGTGGGAGTTGAAGTCCAGGGGTCATAAAAGGACCATTGCTTCCCACCTGCTTTAAGATGTCTGGACTTCAATTCCCAGAATTCCCTAGCCAGTTTCCACAAATTTCCTGACTACAAGTAGGGACACTGTGGGCCCCCGGGCCCAGGGACAACACAACCTGTAACACAAGGACCCCCCCCTGGGGAATTCTTGTCCCCCTCCCCCAACTCTTGCAATCCTGAGACCCCCCCCGACGTCGCGAAAGCTTGCGATGAGTTTACAGGTGGTCCACCAGTTCTGACTGTATTGGAGCCAGCCCATTACAGTTGTAAAACAGGCCAATCATACGACCAACCCTGGTTTCCACCCCCACCCCATCCTTTTGAGGTGGTTAACCAAATGCCGTGGTCATTAAGTGAACCGGCGGTTCATTGTGGATGCAGTTTTGCTGGAAAATGGAAGTTTTGCCACTTATGACCACACCAAAAAAAGTCAGAACTTCAGGTCTGGGTTGTTAAGCCCCCTTTCTTTGAAGCCGGTCGTAATTTCGAATGGACGGTAAGCAAGCCGTCTCTTGCATTCTGAAAGAGAAGCCCACCCTCCCTACCCCCCCCCCCCCCCCTTTGCACGATTTCAAACTTCGCAAAGTCAACCGTTAGTTTAAAACTTTTTTATTTTTATTTCTTTTTTTTTTTTTGTCCAGAAAGTTACCAATTTTGCAGAGGGGGGGAAAAAAAAAAGCAAAAGCGAGAATCTCAAAAACGCTTAACGAAAACAAATGTCGCTTTGACGGCGTTGCTTCGCTTCCTTCCTCCCTCCGTTGCTGGGGGGAGGGGCGAGGTGAGACTATTGTCCTGGGGCTACAACAAAGCCTCTCTGGCCCCCGCTTTCTCCCCCCCACCCCCGGCACATACTCTGACTGCCCCCACATCCCCACCCACCCGCTTAGTGGGAAAGAAGCAGAACCAGGAAGAATAAAAATCTGGATTATTATTATTTTTTTTAAACATGCTATGCAGGACTCAAAAAACAAAACTCAGCTAAAACCAGGCTTACTCCCCCCCCCCGCTCCTCCCCCCTAAAAAGGTCCGAGTTAAAAATAAGGTCAGCCGTGAGAGTTTCGGGGTGCTCGGACGCCCCATCCCCGCCCACAATCCCGGTCAAGAAACTTCCTAGTTTTTCCAACATAAATAAATCATCCCAACCGAATACAACAGAGAAACCTACTACACGGAGGTACAGTCCATTGGGGGGGGGGGGGGAGAACGCAGCAGAAATCGGGGTAACAGGCACCCACCCGCAAAACAGATACGGATTTGGCAGGTTTATTAGGAAATCTACGCAAAAACGTTTTACAAGGTTGGATAGTTTTGTTTTTTTCTTCTTTTCCTGAAAGGTAGAAACAAGTCGGAAAAGAACAACCGGAAGGAAGAATCGAGACCTTCTCCAATTGTTCTTCCTCCCCCCCCCCCCCATGTTCACCTCTATTTTTAAAAAAATCTTGGTTTTCCTTTGGCAACTGGGCAGGTCAGCCGGCCCCCACCCCCACCCAGGACTCTTGAATGTCTGCCCCGCCACCTGCCCCTCCCCCAAATGTCCAGACTTGTCAACAAATCACCGTCGCGCCGCAACTCCTCTCCGGCCGGACAGGAGCCCCCTTCAGTTCTCTTCGTCGCTGTCGTCCGGACTGATGGCCGGGCTGGTGAGGCTGTAGGTGGGCGACGTGGGGCTGTAGCCGGGAGAGGTTGGGGAGTAGGTGGAGCCTTTGGGGGAGGTGGGCGAGTAGGTGGGCGAGGTCGGGCTGTACTTGGGGGAGGTTGGGGTGTAGACCGGCGACGTGGGCGAGTAGGTGGGGCTGGTCGGGCTGTATTTCGGTGTGGTCGGGCTGTAGGTGGGCGAAGTCGGGCTGTACTTGGGGCTGGTCGGGCTGTACTTGGGGCTGGTCGGGGTGTATTCCGGAGAGCTGGGGCTGTAGGACGGGCTGGTCGGGGTGTACTTGGGGCTGGTTGGACTGTAGCTGGGCGAGCTGGGGCTGTAGCTGGGCGATGAGGGGGTGTAGGTGGGGGAGGGGGGGGTGTAGCGGGGGCTGGTGGGGGAGTAGCTGGGCGAGGTGGGGCTGTAGGAAGGGCTGGTCGGGGAGTAACTGGGAGAAGTTGGGCTGTAGTTTGGAGACGTCGGGGTGTAGTTTGGAGACGTCGGGCTGTAGCTGGGAGAAGTTGGGCTGTAGCTGGGAGAAGTCGGGGTGTAGTTTGGAGAGGTCGGGCTGTAATTAGGGCTGGTGGGGCTGTAGCTAGGAGAGGTTGGGCTGTAGCTGGGAGAAGTTGGGCTGTAGCTGGGTGATGTTGGGCTGTAGCTAGGGCTGGTTGGAGAATAACTAGGGGATGTTGGGCTGTAGCTGGGACTGGTTGGGCTGTAGCTGGGCGATGTCGGGCTGTAGCTAGGGCTGGTTGGGCTGTAGCTAGGGCTGGTTGGAGAATAACTAGGCGACGTCGGGCTGTAACTGGGACTGGTTGGGCTGTAGCTGGGCGATGTCGGGCTGTAGCTGGGCGATGTTGGAGAGTAACTCGGGGAGGTGGGACTGTAACTGGGGCTGGTGGGGCTGTAATTCGGGCTGGTGGGAGAGTATGACGGAGAGGTGGGGCTGTAGGAAGGGGAGGTGGGGCTGTAGCTGGGGCTTTGCGGGGTGTACACCCCGGGCGAGCGCGGCTCATAGGCGGGAGAGGTTGGGGAGTAGCTGGGAGACATGGCGCCCCCTGGAAAAGCAAAAAGAAAGCGGCGTTAACCCAGGACTCCGCCCTGTGAGGACGGCACCGGGAGGGGCAGTGGGACTGGGATAGCCACGTACCTGGAGACGGAATGTAAGGGCTGGAAGGTCCCGGAGAGCCGGGGGAGCCTGGGGTGGGCGACCAGGCAGGGGAATACCCGGGGCTGTAACCGCTGGCATCGGAAGCTGCACTGGGCGAGAAACTGGCAGCCCCGGGCGTCATTCCGCTCCCTGCAAAGAGGAGGAAGGAAGAGGTGCAGTTGAAAGAAACCAGCCCCCTCCTTTCCCTCTCATTTCTCCTTCCTTCCTTTTATCCCTCCCTCCTTCTTCCTTCCCTTCTCCTTCCTTCCTTTTATCCCTCCCTCCCTCTTCCTTCCCTTCTCCTTCCCATCTTTTTCCTTCCTCCCTTCTTCACCCTCCCCCTCTTCTTTTCCCTCTCTCCCTCTCTCCCCTTCCTTCCTTCCTTCCTTCCTTCCTTCCTTCCTTCCTTCCCATCTCTCCTTTCTCCCTCCCTCTTTCCTTCCTCCTCCTCCCCTCCCTTCCCATCTCTCCTTCCTCCCTCCCTCCTTTTTCCCATATCTCCTTTCCCATCTCTTTCTTCCTCCCACCCTCCCTCTTCCCTTCTCTTCCTTTTCTTTCTCTCTTCCCCTTCCTCACCCGGCAGGGCTGTGAGGAGGGGGCACTTTTGCCCGGGGAGCAATTTACAAATAAATGTAAGGAAAACTGCCTGCATTCTTCTTCTCCTCTTGCCCCAAGCATCCTATAATGCTGATGTTGGCAGCCAGGAAGCCCCCTAGGGCCCACGCAGGGGGGGGGGGAGTAGGAGGGGGGTCTGCATATTTGAAGTGCACTCTAGATTAAGTGCTCTCAAACTTCAACACCCACAATGGAATTCTCCGAAGAGGGAAGCCAAGATTTTTTAAAAGGGGAACAAATCGACGTGCCAAGTTCGCCGAACTCGCTCTTATTCCAAGCGGACCTACAGAAATCGGAGAACTTTTTTTCCGTGATGCCCCAGGGATCCTTGTCAGGCGTATTTCCATAATATTTCTCTTTTAAAAAAGGTGTTGGGATATGTTCTCCCGGCCTGGAGATCCATCGATGGTGGCCTTAATTGCTTTGACGGATGAAAATCAGCCCACCCAAACAAACCACTGATTTAATATTTATATGTAGTGATTAATATGTATTTTGGGGTTAGGGTGTAGGCATATAGATGCACGTATATAGCATATCTATGTGTGTGCGATGTACGTGTATACTTGGGAGGGCAGGCAGCAGAATTTCGTTTTTAATGTGTGCCACTGTGCCCACAGGAAAAAATGACAGTAAAGCTAATCTTATCTTTAATCTCCTCTCTTAAATCTTCCCTTAAATCTTATCTATCACTTAAATCTTATCTCTTAAATATTAATCTTAAACCTTAAGATTTAAAGTTTAAGATAAGGATGAGGTAAGGTAAGGTAAGATTTAAGACCTTAAATTTTACCTTCATAATTTATCTTCATCTTATCCATTCCTAAAACGGCAAGAGGCCCGATACTTACCCACACTCGGAGACCAGGCGCCGTAGGCTGGCGTGGCACCTTGGTTCCACGGGGTTGTGGCAGGGGACACCCCACCCATGGGGCTGGGTGCAGAGCCAAAGAACATGCCCGTAGCTGTAAGGGAAGAAAGACAAGACCAGGACAGCAGCTCCAACAAAGCATTAAAGTTGGGTGCCAAAGATGCACCCGCTGGCACGACTTGCAACCATTCAAGGGGCTGAAAAAAAGCGACTTATGACCTGTACTCGCATTTATGACCGCGGCCGCGTGGTCAAAACTGGGGTGCCTGGCAACCAGCATGGATTCGTGGGATTTGCCACCGGCGACCTTCCCAGCCAGCTTCCAACATAATGGAAGCCATTTGATTCACTTAACAACAGTGGCCGTTTGCTTAACGAAGGTTGGCAAAAAAAAAGAAAAAAAAGATTGCGAAATTGGGGGGTAACTCGCTTAACCACGGGAATCCTGGTTGTAGATAAAGAGGACCGCCTGTATAGCTAGGGAATTCTGGGAGCTGAAAGTGGCAGCTCCAATCTCCCCCACCCCACCCCACCGCCACCCGAATGGTAAGATCCCCAGCTCTTAAAACCCACGGCTGCCCTTCCCCTGGGCACCCCGCCACCACCACATCAAGAGACGCAAAGCAAGACTTACGTCCCCCAACGCCCAGCCCAGTGATGTTGGTGGGGATCTCCATGCCAAATTTGCATTTCTCCGCGTCCAAAAGCAGGTCGAAGCAACCGGTGCCCGCGGGGGCCAGCTGCCCCAGCATGATGTTTTCCGAGACCCCTTTCATGGGGTCGCTCTCGCCGTGGGCGGCCGCCTCCATCAAGACGTCGACCTGGGGAAGGGCAAGGAGAGCGAGACCCCCCGTGGGTGGGATTTGAGCCATGGGACCACGACGGAGCAAAGCGCCCTTCCTCGGTCCCACCCGCAAACTTTCGGAGAGCAACTGCCTTGCAGTTTGGGGGGGAAGGGGGGGAGGGGTCAAGCGAGGAATTAGCCCGGACTCACTACAGAGTAGTAAAAACAAGTGGGCTAAATCTCAACCCTGTCGAATAAACCCTGAGAGCAGGGGCTGTCAAACTTGATTTGAAGGCTGCATCAGGGTTGTGTTTGACCTTGGGGGTCGGCAGCTCGATGTCACTCATGTCAGGGGTCACACCTGGGGTGTCCAAATGTGTTGTGGTCCGCTGCCGGCCTGTGGAGCTGGCGGCAGAGTCTGGCAGTGGGGAGGAACATGGGCCATTCCAGGAGTCTGGGGAGGGCTCAGATGAGGGATCTGCGTCCGACACAAAGATGGAGCCAGGGCCAACCAGGAGTTATGGGCTGACTCCGGAGCCTCCAGAATCTGACAGCAGCGAGGCAGAGGAACAGGGGGAGCCTGTTCTCAGTGCGCCCATGCACAGAGCTGCCAGAAGGGCAAGAACAGTTAAGACAAAAGGGGCGACTCGGGAGTAAGGATTGGAGGTGATTGACCTCTCCCATAAGACATAAAGGAGGAGCAAAGGGACAGGAGCCTTTGCAGGAAGCAACTTTCGTTCGTTCTGGTCGGTTTTAAACTCTGAAGCTCCGTGTTGACTTTGTGCTCCGTTTGGCCTTGTACAGCTAATGGGCCATTTAGTCGTTGGCAGCATTTTAAGGGAGATAAAGGTGGGTGCTTATCAGACTTATCCCGAAGGAATGTGGCAGAACTTCTGTTTGGACCATTCACAAACTCTTTGGGACTCATTACAGGCTGTGAATGCATATAATTCACAGCCGTTGAAATAAAAACAAAAGGTTCTTGGGAACAGCGTGTGATTGTTACCGTCTTAGGAAGCCTTGGTCAGAACAAAATGCTAAGACTCTCCCTCACTCTCATTATAATCTCCTTCCTTCCTTCCCTTTTTCCTCCCACTTCATTCTCCTCCCTTCTTCCTTCCCCTCTATCCTTCTATTTCTTCCTTGCTCTTTTCCCATCTTCCTTTTTCTTTATCTTTCCTCTTTCCCTTTCTCGTCCCTTCTTGCACGCTCAAATGCAAAAGGGGAAACAGTTTTTAGTCTTTTGTCTTGCTAGCCCTCTGCCAGCGAAAATGGAGCTCAGGGCGGGGGCATGCGTGCAGCCCTTGCCCCGAGCTCAGTTTTCAAGGCACAACAGGCTGGTTCTTTATTGTTTCCAGGGCGGCCCCATGGGCTGAATCTAAGTACCCTGTGGGCCAGATCCGGCCCCCAACCCTTAAGTTTGAAACCCCAACCTTAGAGCCTTATCTGGTCTTTCCAGGCAGAAGCTGCAATTCTGGGACGATTCTTGTACCACAGGCATAAAGCAATAAAGTAGACAGTTTGAACTCTACACAGGTGGGCCTGGCCGCTCGCGCCCAACATAAAACTTACCGTCTCTTCGAAGGAGCATTTCATGAGTGGCCCCGTGTCCTGGCGGTTGACGCCGTGCCGCGTGATGGCCATCAAGTGCCCGCGACAGGTCATGGTGTCGCAGAGCAGGGCCAAGTGGCGGTAGTTGACGTAGGAGCCGTCGAAGGAGATGACGTGGTACAGCTCCCGTTCCAGAGCCTTCCTCACCGCCTCAATTCCCAGCACCTGTTAACGAGGGAAGGCGGATTTTCAGTCACCTGGCGCTCTTCTCCAGGACCTCTCTTTATCGCAACCCCCAGGAAATGCCACGCCGCTCGGGACTCACCGTGAAAATCTCCACAATGTCGTTGGAGGTGGTGCGCACGGGGTCCACGTCTTTCTCACTCAGCACACGCATGAGGCTCACGCCATCGGTTTCCAGGATCCACTCCTGGAGGGCTTTGAACTCGCCGTCTTCCGTGATTATTATTTTCTTCTTGTTGTCGGTCTGGGGCAGGTGCATGTACACCTGAGGGAGGAGGAGGAAGAGGAGGATAAATTAACAAGGCCAGCAACCCTGGTGGGATGGGGGAAAGATAAGGACTTTGCTCAGGAGCTGCTGTTAGGACAGCCTCTCCGCCCTTGCCTTGCTGATTTGCTCAATGCCTTGAAGGGTCATGTCTGTCAGCATGTTGGATTCGATGCAGCGCAGGAAAACATCATCGTCCATCTTGTCGACCACCTCTTCCTCCTAAGCCACCAGAGAAGAAAAGTCTCTCATGGACACACATATAGGGATAAACCACGTTTACATACCATTGAAGAGAGACAATAAAGTCTACAGCATGCATTGTAATGACTGTACAGCCATACTGCAAGACAACCAGGCAGAAGATTAGCAAAGCACATCCATGAACACCAGCTGGAAGACACAATGAAGACACCTCTCACAACGCATGGGCAGATTCTGCTAAATGGACTCTTGCTAAATTCACAGGTATAAACTGGAGAAATAGAACAGGGGGGATTGTGACATTTAAAATTATACCTGTGAAAATATAAAGCAATGGTAGTGCCATTTTTAAACCTCTGAATTAACCTAAGGTGATTTACTGGAATAATATGTGAGAATTCTCCATTGTTTTGTACAAAGATTATGTTTGGCAAGTCAGGGTGTCCAGTGTCATGTCAATGATGGAGATTACTGGAAATGGAAACGAGTAAACAGGTTAAGGAAACAGATGGTATGCTACAATAATAGGGGTATTGTATAGGGAGATATGTAGTTGGATCGGTTGTGAACCTGGAAAGGGGCAAAGACTGTATATTTGAAACTGTATATAAGCCCCAGCCTTCCCAGGAAACATGCCTTCTGCCCATGAGCAGAATTCCCTTTTGCAAAAGCTCCACAATAAAGCTCCTATTTATTGTTCACGAGTCTCCAGTTGTCTTGGTACCTGAATGGTTGATTATTATCACATTTCTACTGTAACCAACCTAGACTATATTGAATCCAAAAACCCTAGGGAATTACTGGAAGCCTGGAACTAACTCAATCAGCCATCAACAGACACCCAGAAATAAACCACATTTACACACCATTCAAAAGAGACAATAAAATCTATAGCATGCACCGTAAGGACTGTGATAGCCACTGTGTTGGACAAGGCAGATTAGCAAAGCACATCCATGAACACCAACTGGAAGACACAATGAAGACACTCTCACAATGCATGGGCAGACTCCATCATAATTTCTACTGAGCATCCTAGACCAAATTGATGGAGACTGACTCTGAGGAAGAGGAGGAACAGCCAACAGTTGGGAGTGGGAGTGTGGCTCCAGAGGAGGTGGTGGAGGCTGGGGAAGGGCAGAGGCCTGCTTGAGCAGTCAGAGGAGGACCCAGGCTCATACCCTATCCATCCTAGGGAGGAGAGGATCAGGGTAAAATGTGGTCTACTCGGGAGGAGAGGGCCACGATCCTCTTCATGGGTTGCAGGTGGGAGATTTGCAGAAGAGTGTGGACTTGAGCGCTAACAGATGCTGGAGACAATTAGTGTTTTATTTCTAAAGGAGGTTTATCTTGGTTGGCGTTCTTCCAACGGGACGTCCCTGCTTATCTTCCTGAGGTTGGCAATTATCTATCCTGTTGAGGAATTTTAATCAATGTGGTTTTGTTTTTAGCTTTGGCTTCGTTATCGGCTCTTTGAATGTGAACTGTGTTTCTTGCCTGTGAAATGTTATTTTGAGAATAGTTTACTCCTCCACTGTGAACAATTAAACAGTGAAGCCAAGTTGAAGGCATTAAAGGAATTTTAATTAGGTTTTGGGTTTTGTTGTATTTATACTCCGGGTCATCACACCACACCATTCAAGAGACAATAAGGACTATACAGCCACACCGTAGGACAATCAGGCAGAAGATTAGCAAAGCGCATCCATGAACACCAGTTGGAAGACATAACGCATGGACAACCTGGTACCAGACTACATAGGATTGCTGGCACTGCCATGCACTCAACCCTCACTGGTTGGTAGAACCAAGGCTGTCTTCGACTCAAGACCATCTGCCCTAACCTGGCCTGAAAGTCATAACCACCCCCCCCCCCCCCCCCAATGCGTGAGCTGGCCAAGGCTACTCTGAGATACCCCAAGGAGGTATCTGCTTCCTTCAGATGAAGAACAGCCCGGCGATTGTACCCACTTCCCGTCCACTCCAATCCCCAGAGGTTTAATGGTAAGAGGACTGCCTTCCCCACCTCCTGCATCTTATTCTCGTCGCTGTTCATGATCCGAATGCGCAGCACCAGCTTCTCGGCGTTGTCGTCGTTGAAGATGCAGTTGAGGTCATCTCCAAAGCCTGCAGAAGAAGGAGAAGAAAGATTGTCCACGGGCTGCCGGTGGACAAAGGGGGGCAGAGCGAACTCTTGGCCATCCACCCCGCCTCACCGGCATTGATCTTCTCGGCAATCTGCTCCATGGTGAGCTTGCGGTCCGTCATGTGCTTGCGGTCCAACTCCACCCTCAGCAGCCAAGGGGAGATGCGGGTGACATCGAAGTCGGGCATCTCGTAGTAGACGTTCACCCACTCCTGGTCCTCAGCCACCACGGTGTTCTGAGGGTTGGGGTCGTAGTAGATGGCCGTGTTGGCGGTCACCTTGCGAAGGGTGGTGTGCTCCAAGCGGCAAAGGATGTCCTGGGATGGAGACAGGTTAAGACCATGAGGTCGGAGAGCCGAACCTTGGGAGCTGCTTCCCTACTGACGTGTGGCCGTCCATTTCTAGTTGGATCTCAAGAGATGATCATCATCATTTTCTTTGAACGACTCCGTAATCCCCATGCAGGGTTAGAGCCTGGGCAACTGAATAGAGCTGAGTGTTTACTGGCCGGATGCCCTTCCTGTCGCCAATGCAGAGGTTTTTGTTTCCCCCCCACCAGAAGATATATTCTCATTGTGCCCAGACAGAAATAGCTGCCTCTACCTAGGGTTGAACTCACAGCCTCCTGATTATGAGGAGACAGCTCAACCTTGATGGAGGGAGAAAATGTTGAGAGCCCAACCTACCACCTTCAGGCTAAAATTTACCCTCCACTCCGATCGGGAGGGAGGCATTCCAGCCCGTGGGTGCAGGAACCTTCCGAGATTCGCTCATCACCACAGCCAAGGCCAACTTCTCTCCCCCCCACCCCCCGCTCTCCCCTCTCCTCACCTTGGCCCTCTCAGCATCCCGGGCGGACTGTCCCAGGAGGAAGACAGTCAGAGAAGGGGTTTTGGGCTTTTTGGAAATGTTGATCAATTCCTTCAGCCGAGGCACCCCCAGGGTCACATTTTTGGCGGAGACTCCAGCATAATGGAAGGTGTTGAGGGTCATCTGGGTGGCGGGTTCCCCCAGGGACTGGGCCGCCAAGGCCCCCACCATCTCACCAGGATGGGCCTGTGGGAAAAAACGACAGCTGGGAATATCTCCTGGACTCGAGGCAGAGTTTGATGGTTTGTTAGTTTGGAAAGTCAAAAAAGAGGGCTGTGAAAATATCCACAGACCCTTCACACCCTGGACATAAGTGTTTCAACTCCTTCCCTCAAAAGGACGCTATATAGAGCCCTGCACACCAGAACAACTAGACACAAGGGGAGTTTTTCCCCAAATGCCATCACTCTGCTAAACAAATAATTCCCTCAACACTGTCAAATTACTTAGTAAGACTATTATTCTTCTCACCCTTCCTATTACTTATTTTCTTTTCTACTTACGACTATAACTTTGTTGCTTGTACCTTTACAATTTACATTGTTTTATTTAGTTTCCTAGTATGATTTGATTGCTTATTTAGTATCCTATGACTACCACCGCTAAGTGTTGCATCTCATGATTCACGATGACTGTATTTTTTAATGTACACTGAGAGCTTCGGCACCGAAGACAAATTCCTTGTGTGTCCAATCCCACTTGGCCAATAAAGAATAAAGAAAACAAGAGGTTTTATTATCGCAGGAAGTCCTCACGTTACGGAGCCTCCCTATTCGCACGTCCTCATGGTCATGAAAGAAGTCAAGTCGTGCGACCAACCTGGTTTTATGACGTCCTTTCTTGCGGCGTACGTTAAGCGAATGGTTTGTTATGTGGCTTTGCTGGGTTTTTCAACTGTCGTAAAATGCAGCCACATGACTGTGGGGCACTGCGCAAGGCCGGAAATGCAACCCATGTTGCTTGCACACCCCTAAAGTGCGGTCACATGACCAGGAGGGCGACCAGGACTGGGTTGTAATTCCTCCCTTTTCAGGTAGGCCGCAACTCGAAACATCGCTAAACGACAAGTCATAAACTGAGGACTCCCTCAATTGTTTGATGAATGGCTAACTTCCAGCTTAGCACGTCGTCAGAGTCTACCTCAGCGGTCTCTGGGCATCCATCACAAAGACGGACCAGCTCCCAGAATTCCCCAAGCAGCAGATGAGACACCTGGGAGTTGAAGTCCACCCATCTGGAGGCTGCCCGAGTTAAGGGAAGGCTGTTCAAAGGGAGGGTAACGTTTTCTGAACGTGGCTTGCTTCAAACCTGGAATAACTGCATCCAGTTTTGGTCCCCACATTACAGAAAAGATGCCGAGACTTTGGAAAAAGTGCAGAGAAGAGCAACTAAGAGGATCAAAGGCCCGGAGAGTAAAACATACGAAGAACGGTTGCTGGATTTGGGTTTGGCTAGTCTGGAGAAAAGAAGGTGTACGGGGGATGCGATAGCAGCCTTCCAGTATTTGAGGGGCTGCCCCAAAGAAGAGGGGGGGGGGGGGTCAAACTATTCTCCAAAGCTCCCGAAGGCAGGACAAGAAGCAACAGATGGAAACTGATCAAGGAGAGAAGCAACTTAGAACTCAGGGGAAACTTCCGAACACTGAGGACAATTAACCCGTGGAACTGCTTGCCACCAGAAGGTGTGGGAGCTTCATCCCTGGAGGCTTTTAAGAAGAGACTGGACAGTCACATGTCTGAAACGGGATAAGAGTCTCCTGCTTGAGCAGGGGGTTGGACTAGAAGACCTTGGCGGTCCCCAGCTCTGATTGACTTAAAACCAACATCAGGCCATCTTGGGGAACTGAGCTGCTAAAAAATGGAGGTGAATAGCTTCCCTAACCCCTCGTGGATTCCATTACAGCAAATGGAGCAAATGCCAAGAGAAATTAAGAACCTCGGCCTCGTACCAAGGAATCTTCTGACCCCTTTTTGAAAGCCGGGGCAAAATTTTCCAACCCTGAAACACACTCGAGAATTTATTTATTTCCATATCCTGAAAAAACGAGCTGTGCCACAGCAAGGAATTCTGGGCCGTTTTTTTAAGGTCCCCAGTGGGCCACTCCTTGACTAGGCTAAACGCCCCCACCCCACCCCCACCCCAAGGGACTCTCCCCCCCCCCCCTCCCCCCCCCCCCCCGCTGTTTCCACAGCTGCTCAAGTTGGAAACGAAAACGTTGCAGAAAGAGGGGGAAGTTTACAGGCTTTGAAGCAGAACTTAAAAAGTAGATCTTGGGAACTGAAACAGCTCGGTTTCACTTCTTCCTGCTGCTTTTTTTGTTGGACAGGTGAGTTTCCTGTGTGTGTGTGTGTGTGTGTGTGTGTGTGTGTGTGCCTGTAACTCACAATGGCCTGGTTGAACTTGGATTCAATTTCTCCCAGCAGCCAGTCGAAGGCCTCCCCGCTCAGCCGGAATTCCTCGATCATGCGACGGCTGCAGAGGGTGGAACGCAGGTGGATGTTGAAGAGCAGGGTGGCGTTTTCCTGGGCTTGCTTGCTCAGGGGGTCGTCGCCGTTCACGATCACCAGTTTCTTGCTCAGCTCCTTCACGCCTGGGAGGGAGGGAAGGAAGGAAAGGAAGGAAGGAAGGAAGGAAGGAAAGGGGAAGGAAGAGAAGGAAGATGACAAGGAAGGGAGGGGAAGGAAGAAAGGAGGGAAAGAAGGAAGAAAGGAAGGCTCATTTTTTTTTCTTTTTTTAACAATTATTTTAGGAAAGTTATACAGGCAGGCAGGCCTCGGCGTACAACCATTTCGTTTAGGGACCGTTCAAAGTTACGACGGTCGGAAAAGGGACTTAGGACCAGTTTTTTTCCCACACTTAACGACGGTCGCGGCATCTCCGGTGTGTGTGTGTGTGTGTGTGTGTGTGTGTGTGTGTGTGTGTGTGAGATGTGATCAAAGTTCGCCCGCTTGGCAACTGACTCATATTTATGACAGTCGCAGCATCATCCCAGGGGCCACCTGATCCCCTTTTGCCATCTTACCACAACAAAAGTCAGGGGGGGCGGGAGCCAGATCTACTTAAGAACGGGCGGATCCACTTTGACAATGGCGGCCAACAGTCTTTCATGACATTTAATAACTACAGACCTTTATCAGGCTTGGAGAGCTGACAGGCCGGTATCTTTCAGATGCCACACAGTAGCAGACAATACTTGACAAGAATGCAAGAACAGATCTTCACCCAAATGAACTAATTGTCCCCTGCAAAAGCCCACTCCTCTTTTATTCCCTATGGGAGGGCCCATTCACCGTCCGCCTGTGGCTTTATTCCAAAGTCAACCCTTGTTCCTTAGCTGTTCCCTTCTTCTGGCAGCTCTGTGCATGAGCACACTGGGAACAGGCTCCAGCTGTTCTTCTTCCCCACTGATCTCCTACTCCGAAGGCAGCTGATGACTGTCGGACGGACCTGGCCCCATCTCTGCCTCCGATGCAGAGTCCTCCTCAGAGCCTTCCTCAGCCTCCAGAACTGGCCATGTTCCTCCCCAACCTCCTCAGTCTGAGTCTGCCGCCAGCTCTGCTGGCCACTGGCGGGCCACAACAACGCCCATCTTGAATGATCTGCAGGCAAGGCCAGGCCCCCACCCTCACCTCCACCTCAGAAAAACCAGAGGTGGGTCCTCTCTATTTCCCAGGGTCCAAAACTACTCCCTTTTCTGCCAAGGAAAGCGTTGGTTTCCCAAACTCCCGGCTCACCTTCCACCACTTTGATGGGGTGCAGGTCAGAGGGGAGGCGCGTATTGATGTGGAAAATTTTCTGAGCGTTCCAGATCATGCGCAGCAGGTTGCAGGGGAGGACGACCTGCGAGGGGAGGGAAAGCACACGTTAGCACCATTTTGTAATGCCTTGGTCAGACAGACCATGCTGCATCCAGTTTTGGTCGCTACGGTGTAAAAAAGATGCTGAGACTCTGGAAAGAATGCAGAGAAGAGCAACTAAGATGATCAGGGGGCTGGAGGCTAAAACATACAAAGAACAGTTGCAGGAATTGGGTATGTGTAGTTTGAAGAAGGAATAGGGGGGACACGATAGCAGCCTTCCAATATTGGAGGGGCTGCCCCAAAAGAGAGGGGGGGGGGGGTCAACTTATTCTCCAAAGCCCCTGAATGCAGGACAAGAAGCAACGGGTGGAAACTCATCGAGGAGAGAAGCGACCTGGAACCGAAGAGCAATTTCTAGTGACATTTTCTAAAGAGAAATTGAAACGAATCCGTGGAACAGCTTGCCTCCAGAAGCGCCCTCATTGGAGGTTTCCAAGAAGAGACTGGGCCAGCCACTTCTCTGCACTGGTAAGTCTCCTCTTGAGCAGCGGGGGTTGGACTAGAAAACCTCCAAGGTCCCTTCCAACTCTGTTCTTCTGATAACACCCGTCCCCGACATCCCAGGGGCCAAGGTAACGTCCAAAGGACCCTCCTTCTGTCACGCTTCCAAACAGAAGCCCCAAAATGGCACAGAGGGTTGACTTGCCTGTCAGTTGTGTGAATGGGGAAGCCACCATGACCACCAATCAAGGGGAACGTGGAAAGGAGGAGACGCTGGTTTCCCGGTGTGGGGTTGTGTGAGCAAAAGGAGCGGAGCCGGGGCAGGTGGGTGGGCAGCCACTCACCTTGCTGTCTCCCGTGGGGAAGATGACCCTCAACACCTCCCGGTCGTCCTTCATCTTCTCAAACTCCCTCTCCAGCTCGTTCTGGATGTGGGCGTTGCTGAGGATGTCCTTCACCATCTCCTCTTGCAGGGTGCGGCGCAGAGCCCGCTCGTTGGTGTAATCGAACTTGAACCTGGAAAGAGGGAAGCCAAAAGAGGAGATATATATATATGTGTGTGTGTGTGTGTGTGTGTGTGTGTGTGTGTCAATCAGGGTGGTCACATGGCTCCTTAACTCTTCTAAAACGGGGTCTCCAAACTTAGCAACTTGTGGACTTCAACTCCCAAAATTCTTCAGCCAGGCATTTGCCAAAATCAAGATATATTACACTGGCCACATTCCTGCCATCTATAACCGTGTTTCCCGAAAATAAGGCCCTGGCTTATTTTTTTTTTGCCACCAAAAAAGGCACTCGGTCTTATTTTTGGGGGGGGGGGGGGGGAATGTTGTCCGCTGACTAAGCCAGCAAGGCTTTCCTAAAGGCCTCTACAGCCAATAACAGAGTTCTGGATGGATCCGGAGCTTTACAAGATTCAGAGGCCCCCAGGAAAGCCTTGCCAGCCTTGCAGGCTCCAGAAGAAATGGGCCGACGAGGCAGGCGTCAGGGGGTGCAAGGTCTGGCTACACCTGTCCAAAGGTAAGTAGTAGGGCAGCTCCACTCCTACCCCCGCAATCCACACCCTAGCTTAATTTTTACCCGTCCACTCTGGAGTGGGAATCTCAACTAGGGCTTATATTGGGTGCACAAGTAAAAAAATCAAAATAGGATTTACTTTTGGGGTAGGCACGGTAAAAGAATTATCCAATCCAAAAGGTGACAAAAGTCAAGCCACGTTTCTTTCATGCTGGCTGGGGAATTCTGGGAACGGAAACCCACATGATCTTAAAAGGGCCAAGTTCTAAACTGTCAAGGACACCCCCAGGCACTTCTCTCTGGGGAGCTGCGTCCTCTTGGCAAGTCCCAGGGGTATTGAGACAGCCAAAGTGAAAGTCAGCTTCCTCATTTGGACCCCACACATTCTCCCCCCCTTCCCCAAGAATGTGGGGGGTTCTTCAAAGGGCTCTTCCTCACCCACTTCATCCCAACGGGAGGTCTCCCAAAGAGATACCCATGGCTAATCCTTTGCATCCAAGCCCTCCTCAACTAGTTTGATCCTGTCATTTTGGGCTAATCGTTGGAGTTCTAGTTCCGCTTTAAGCCACCAAAGTCAGCGGATCACCAGGAGGGCAGGGAATTCTAGTCCTGCTTGAGGCACCGAAGCCAATTGGGTGACTTTAGCCCAATGATCTGGAGATGGTAAATATCTGTTCCTGCCTTAGGCATGAAACCCTGCTGGATGTCTTTGGGTGCTGTAGTCCCGCGGCAGCAGAATTGGACAGTGGGGGAGAACGGGGACCAGGCAGGACCATCTGGGTGCTGCCTCCGGAGCCTTTGGAGTCTGGCAACAGCAAGGCAGAGGAACAAAGGGAGCCTGTTCCCAGGGCGCGTGTGCAAAGAGCTGCTAGAAGGCGAGAGCAGCTGAGACAAAAGGGCAATTTGGGAGCAAGGCTGGGAAGTGGATTGCCCCTCCCATAAGGGATAACGGACAGGCCAAGAGGACGAAACCTTTGCAGGAAGCAAAGTCGTTCGTTCGGTTCAGGCTCATTCTTGAAGCTCTTTGTACTTTGGTTGGTTTTTGTTCTAGTTTGACACTTCTGTGATTGGCAGCACTTCACAGGAAAGAAAGGTGGTTGCTTATATCTTGAGGGACTGTTTGAGATTCATTACTGGCTGGGAATGCAAATAATTCCCAGCATTGCAATAAAATAAGCATGTGTGTAATTAAAGCCTTGGTCAGAACATTGGGCCAATCACCAGGAGATGGCGAGTTCTAGTCCTGCCCTAGGCATGAAAACCGGTTGGGGGAACTTCATGCCAATCCCCCCCTCTCAGCCCACCTCTCCTCACAGGGCTGTTGTTGTGGGGAAAATAAGGAGGAGAAAGGATTAGTTGGATCTGTTCGCCACCTTGGAACTAGTTATAGAAATGGATCTTGAGAAGCTTTCTCCAAAAAGAAAACGAAGAAACTCAGGAGACCCCACCCACCCCCAACAACACAGGCTGGACCCCTGGACCCTCAGAAGATGCAAAGGGCTCACTTCTTCTCAAAAGCTTTGTTGGAAGGCTTGAGGGTAGCCAGGTTCTGGAACTCCACGCTCTCTCCGGCCAGCCCATCCTCGCCGTAACGCAGCTGCACCACCTGGTTGATGGAGTTGCGGACGGTGGCATCGTACTTCACCATGACCGACTCCATGGATTTGATCAGCCGACGTTGGATGTAACCTGGTAAGCAGGGGAGGAGATCAGAATAACAGAATAAGAGAGTAGGAAGGGACATGGGAGGTCTTCTAGTCCACCCCCCTGCTCCAACAGGAAGACCCTACGTCATTCCAGACAAAATGGCTGCCCGGTCTCTTCTTAAAAGCCCTCCAGGGATGGGAGCGTCCACAACTTCTGGTGGCAAGCAGTCCCCCGGGTTAATTGTCCTCCCTTTTGGGAAGTTCCTCCTCAATTCCATGTTGCTTCTCTCCTTGGGGAGTTTCCATCCGTTGCTTCTTGTCCTGGTGCTCTGGAGAACAGGGGGACCCCCCTCTTCTTTGAAGGCACCCCTCAAATATTGAAGGGTCCAGGGCAGTCCAAATGTGAGACTTAAAAGTGTCTCTCTTTGCCGCTCTTTGTGACCTGTCCCCTGTGGGTCGGAGAATGTCTCCCTGAAGCAACTTCAACCCTCGTCCAAAACTCACCCGTTTCGGCTGTTTTGACAGCCGTGTCGATCAGCCCTTCTCGGCCTCCCATGGCGTGGAAGAAGAACTCGGTGGGGGTCAGGCCGGCCAAGTACGAATTCTCCACGAAGCCCCTGCTCTCCGGCCCGTAGTCGTCTTTAATGAAGTGGGGCAGGGTGCGATGCTTGAAGCCGAAAGGGATGCGTTTCCCTTCCACGTTCTGCTGCCCCACCACGGCGATGACCTGGGAGGCGGGAAGAGAGCGGCCGAGTCAGCCCAGGCTTCTGGGGGAACCACACCTCCCCGAGTCCCGAGTTTGTATTTATACCCTGCCATCATCATCATCATTATCATTATTATTTATAAATAAGGGTAAAGTGCTCCTTCTATTTTCCCCACAAGAACAACACCCCTATTTATCGGTTGGACTGAGAGAGACTGGCCCAAAGCTTTCATGCCTAAGGTGGGACTAGAACTCCCAGTCTCCTGGTGATTGGCCCAAAATCACCCAGCCAGTTTTCGTGCCTAAGGTGGGACTAGAACTCACAGCCTCCCCACTTTCTGGTCTTAACTCCTAGACCAAACCGGCTCTCAAAAACAATCGCCTGCCCAGGGACCTGAACCCCGGGCCCTCTGGTGAAACCTGTGATGCTCTACTGACTAAGCTTCTCCGGAGTTGTGGGAGGAGGTGAGCCCTACCTGGGAGATGTTGATCTTGGAGCCTTTGGCCCCTGAGACCACCATGGACTTGAAGTTGTTGTACTCCGAGAGGGACTTCTGGGCAGAGGAGCCGGTCTTGTCTCGGGCGTCGTTCAGGATGCGGTTGACCTGGTTCTCAAAGGTCTGGCGCAGGGTGTTGCCAGGGGTGGGCTCCAGCTCATTGTTGTGGGCTTTCTCGATGACCTGGAGGATGGAAGAGATGGCAAAGGTTCAAAGCAGGCCCAAGGAGACAGGCCAGGCTTTTCAAGACTGACTCCCTCCCCGCTTCCTTCCCCTTTCCATCGTCTTCCTCCCTCCCTCCCTTCCCTCTCTCCCTCCTTCTCATCTCTATTCCTTATGTCCTTCCTTCCCTTCCTTC